AGGACCTCGAAGAACGACTGAGGGACCGATTCGTGTGTGGCTTAAGGCATTGAGATCTACAACAGAGGCTTTTCGCCAAAGAAGAACTGTCCTTCCAAGATGCCTTAAGAGAAGTCACTGCAGAAGAAGCAGCAGGCGGCGCCGTCAAGAACATGCGGCCGATCAGAAACAGTCCAGAAGCTGCATGCGTGCACCAGGAAGACGTCCAAGGAAACTCCGAGGAGGATCCGGACGAGGAAGTCGACCATCTCCACCCCACGAAGGAAGGAAATCAGAAGGGAAGCTCTTCAGCTCCACTCAAGTGCAACGGCTGTGGAGGTCGCCACAGGAGAACCGACTGCAAGTTCCGCTCCGCTACCTGCCGGGCATGCGGCAAACAAGGACACATTGCAGCTGTGTGTCTGGGCCGACGAAAGGTACAACCTCAGGAAGAACTGCACCTGAAAGGTACCAGGGTCCCCAGCCAGAATAGGGTGGGGTTTTGCGCTTCGCGAAGAAGCATCCTAAGGACAGGCACACACAAGCCCATTAAGAAAAAGCTGTCACTCAAGGTGAAGCTACAAGGAGTTCCATTAACTATGGAACTAGACACAGGGTCTGCCCTTTCAATCATCTCCTTGCATACATTTAGGAAGATTTGTTCCGGTAGTGGAACTCAGGCCAAGTTAAGGCCTTCTGACATTGTGTTAAAAGATTTTCAAAATTCAAGAGTGTGTGTTAAGGGGGAGGCCACCCTTAACGTGCAATACAAGAGTTTTGAAGGTCCACTAGACTTATTAGTAGTAGGGGGTGAACGAACGAGTCTCATAGGGCTCGATTGGTTTGAGGCCCTGGGGATACACGTCACAGGACTCAACAGTTTACAAACACTCGACCTATAGGAAGTCTGCAAAGAATTTGCAGATGTTTTCAGCCCCCAGCTGGGCACATTCAAAGGACCCCCTGTGACCTTAAAGCTAGACCCCACTGTCACTCCCATTAGAATTAAAGCAAGAAGGGTCCCTTTTGCTTTAAAGAGTAAAATTGACACTGAGTTAGACAAACTGATCCAATAGGGAATTCTAGAACCTGTTGATTCCAGTCCTTGGGAGACCCCCATTGTCACGCCTCTAAAGGCAAATGGGAACATTTGCATTTGTGCTGATTACAAATGCACTCTTAATAAGGCATTGCAGCAACATGCCTATCCTGTTCCTGTGGTCAGTCATATCCTGGCCTCCCTCAAGGGGGGGCGTGTTTTTGCAAAGCTTGAGCTAGCTCAAGCATATCAACAGCTGCCTGTTGATGATGATGCTGCTATAGCTCAGACTATTGTGACCCACAGAGGGGCCTTCAAGGTAAAAAGGCTACAGTTTGGAGTGAATGTCGCTCCTGGGATTTTCCAAAGCGTAATGGAAAACACACTACAGGGTATACCAGGGGTTTGCCCCTACTTGATGATGTCTTGATTGCAGGAGACTCCACACACATTCTAGCTGAAAGGCTAAGGGCTGTTCTGTTAAGATTCAGGAAAACAGGCCTCAAGCTCAAAAAAGACAAATGCAAGATTGGGGTGCCTTCTACTGAATTTCTGGGGTTCAAAATTGATGCTGCTGGGATTCACCCTGCTAAATCCAAACTAACTGCTATTTTAGAAGCACCTAGGCCAAAGTCTAAGGCCAAACGTCAGGCCTTCCTGGGCCTCCTGAATTTCTACAATTCCTTCCTTCCACATAAAGCCAGTGTGGCTGAGCCTCTTCACAGGCTACTAGACAAGCAAGCAGTGTGGCAGTGGTCACAAACGCATGAGGCTTGTTTTAACAAAGTCAAGGCCTTGCTCACTTCTAACAGTGTACTTGCACATTTCAACGAGTCCCTTCCTGTGTGCATCGCTTGTGATGCGTCCCCTTACGGGGTTAGGAGCTGTCCTGAGCCACCTCAGGTCTGATGGAACTCAGGTTCCTGTTGCATATTACTCCAGAACATTGTCTTCTGCTGAGCGCAACTAAGCTCAGATAGACAGGGAGGCTCTGGCTGTTGTTGCTGGAATTAAAAAATTCCATGATTTTCTATATGGCAGGCATTTCACGGTCTTCACTGACCATAAGCCTCTGCTGGGACTGTTTACCACACGTAAGCAGACTCCCCACATCATTTCCCCTAGAATGCTTAGGTGGTCTATTTTTTGTCTGCATATGATTTTTCATTACTCCACAAGCCTGGGAAAGAAATGGGCCATGCTGATGGCCTCAGTAGGTTGCCCCTGCCAGTAGTAGAAGCTGACCCTGCGCCAGCTGTCAACATTCTATCAATCCAAGCCTTGCCGAGCTCCCTCTTAGTGCCAGGGATGTTGCCGCTGAAACAGGTACAGATTACACACTTTCACGTGTCCGTTCCTGGGTTTTGTCTGGTTGGCCTGAGCACTGCCCTAGTCCTGAGTTTCAGAGTTTCTGGTCCAAAAGGAACGAGCTGTCCCTTTCTCAGGGTTGTCTGCTTTGGGGAAACAGAGTTGTCATTCCCACCTCAATGAGGACTAGGGTCTTAGAATCCCTCCACGAGGGTCATCCTGGCATTGTTCGTATGAAGGCTCTTGCGCGCAGCCACTTGTGGTGGCCTGGTTTAGATAAAGATATTGAGGCTAGGGTGCATGCATGCCACCTGTGCCAACGATCTCGCCCAGAGATGCCCCAAGCTCCCGTGCATAGATGGGAGGAAACACAGTCCCCATGGTCTAGGGTGCACATTGACTACGCGGGGCCCTTTCAGGGCCAGTTCTTCTTGGTCCTTGTTGACAGCCATTCAAAATGGCTTGAGGTTGTACCTGTCTCATCCACCACCACTGCAAAGACTATTCAGGTACTGAGGGGGATTTTTGCTGCACACGGGCTTCCAGATGTCATTGTGTCTGACAACAGCCCTCAATTCACTTCCTCCGAATTCCAAGCTTTCTTACAGGCTAACATGATTCATCATGCCATGTCTGCACCCTTCCACCCATCCACCAACGGTATGGCTGAACGTATGGTGCGCATCACAAAGGACGCCTTGAAAAGACTCACCTACGGGGACTGGCATCACAGGTTGGCTGACTTTCTCCTTTCTTATCATACCACACCGTCCACTTCTACAGGGAGAAGCCCAGCTGAACTTCGTTGGGGGCGTCAACTTACTACTAAACTTGACCGGTTGCATCCGGATAGATTGCCTTCATCTACCTCACATCCTAGGGCACCTAGACAACTACTTGAGGGTGCCCCGGTCTGGACTCGCAATTACGGGCCTGGTCATACATGGGTCCCCGCTTCTGTTTCCAGGGTCACGGGTCCTCTATCCTACGAGGTAGCCCTGGACAACGGTCGTGTCCTGCGCTGACACATTGACCAACTCCGCCCTAGGCGGCATCTTCCAGCTGAGACTCCTGGGTCTTTTCCAGGGGGGGGAGGGGGACCCTTTGGAGCAAAGGGAAGGGCACGAGCTGCTGCCCATCTCCACTGATGGAGCCACTGACGGCCCATTTCAAGCTTCCGCAAGTGCTCCGAAAAGGAATTCATGGAGCTTACCCACACAACAGGCACTCACGCCTACTCCAGCCAGGGAGTCACCCCGGGGGCATACTCACTTTCCACACACATCACACAGCACTCCAGTCACGGAGGATACCCGGGAGCATCCCAACAAATCATTCCCCGCAAGAGAGCTGGCACACAATCCCCAGAGTTGGCCTGACCTTACCCCTAATCCTACAGGGGGTCAAACTTACAGGGAGGTGGTCGAGGAACCAAGTCCCGACCGCAACACCTCTAGCCCAAATCAGGGAGTAACTGAGTTTTGGGAAGGTACAGAGACCCACACGAGCCCGGACACAGAACGGGGCTTAGGGATTGGACAGCCTCCTGACAGGTCTTGGACGGACCTAGGAGGTTCTATAGAGACGCCCAGCAGTGGCTATCACTTCAAGGGGCCCGAGGGCGTACAGCTAGGCGGGTCAACCAGGTCACAAAGTGACAGGAGCCCTGGCCTGACGAGCCCGGTGGGCAAGCAAGCAGGCCAGGCATTGGGGCAAAGTCCTTGGAAGGCACCAAGGCATGATAAGGGGAATAGGCTCTTGTCACCCCTCAGTCAGGGAACACTTGTCAGAAACCCAGAGCTGAGAAGGTCACAGAGAGCAAGGAAGTCTCCTAAATACTTAGAGGATTACATAACATTGCTGGCTAAACAAAAGCCAGGTAACGATAGGAGCACTGAGAAGCAGAACACTGCATAAAATAAATGATTATATGTTGGTAGTAGTTTTAGCCCGGGGGAAAGGGGTGTTATGTCCCGAGCCTTGCAAACGGCTCGGGCGTTTGCAGGCAGTCCCGGGCAGGTGCAAAGCTGCCCGGGACCAGACAGGCTGTCGCCAGCGCCGTGCGCATGCGCGGGTGCTGGCGCGGGAAAAGTATCGCATTGACCCGGGAAATGCCTATATAAGAAGCTGGGAGGTTTTGGGAGCTGCTGAAGCCATCTACTTGTGAGCTGAACACAGAATAAAAAAAACTGAGAACTACAACTGCTTCTCGTGTCTGCTTTTCGCCAAGGACTCAACATAGGTAACAAAACATTAGCTATCGGTTCTGCTGAACTGGTGCAAACTGGCTGAATTCCACCATTGATTACTTCCAAGACAAGAGTTAAATGACATATATGTCAGTACAATTAATGCCTGAAGTAAAAACTAGCAGATACCTATTGGTTGGGCAGGTACTTGTTTACCACATCTTCTGTACAGACTTTCTTAAATAGACCCCAGCAGCTTCCCATCTTGCAAAAATAGACATGTTGGATCAAGGCAACTATTTTCTTACTAACAGCTTTAAAACCTAATACTGTGGACTTCTCTTCAGTCATGATTCAAAGCAATCTCAGAAACATTAATAGAGACAATGTTGGATTGTCAACCACAAAAATAAATCTCTAGTCAAGTTTCTGCAGGGTGCTCTAATTTCATGAGCTTGATTGAACATTAGATACAAAAATGTTACCTCTGTGTTGTCCAGAAAGCAGGCCACATTCTCTTTCAGATCAATTATAGCTGATGCCAATGACTGAAACTTTTCTTCCACTTTATCAAACTCTTTATCCTCTGTCTAAAAATCAAAGAAAAGACATTACATTTTGTCAGAAGACAATTTACAGGTAGTAAAAGATCAGTACTGAGCAATGATACAAAAGAAAATAGAATGCCATTAGTGAATACAGATTTCTTCTGTGAATGTCAATCACACTGTTCAGAGAATTTCCCTGGGTTCCTTTCTTCTAAGCCGGGAAAAGAGAGCAATAGCATCCTCCCTGGGGAAGCGCAAGCATTCCTAGAATCAAGACACAGAGACTGGCTGCTTGAAAAGGAGGTCTCTATCTTTATTGTTCCAAAAATAATACAAGGTTTGCTTTTGGGGCAGTTAGCCATAGACTGACCCATCAGCAGTGGTGGGATTCAGCTGGTTCGCATCAGTTCAGCAGAACCGGTAGCTAAATTTTGAGTTTGGAGAACCGGCTGAATGCACACTGCTTCCAGAAGTCCAGTCTAGGCCTCAGAGGCCTGGAGGAGGCCTCCCAGGCATAGAATAGCCTACCAGAAGTGCATGGATGCCACTTCCAGAAGTCTGTTCTAGGCCTTGGAGGCCAGGAGGAGGCCCCCCAGGCATAGACCAGCCCACTGGAAGTGCATGGATGCCACTTCCAGAAGTCCATTCTAGGTCTCAGAGGCCCAGGCCTGCATCCCAATAAGAGAACCAGTTGTTCAGGTATTTGAATCTCACAACTGCCCATCAGTAAGACCTTCATATCATTTTGAACCCTTTGTAAAAGACATGCGAGTGAGATATATGGTGTTATGACCGAAGCAGGAAACACAATTGTGACACATGGCTTTTATGGTGAGAGGAAATACTTTACTTGTTATCTCTGTATCAGAAAAGTTCCTGACCAGTCACATGGCATAAAGAACATGGGCATAGATGTTAAAATTCCCATGCCTTTTAAATGTTAATTGATTTCAAGCTGCTGTCTGCTTTCTATTGCATTTAAGGAATCATTGTATTTTATGAATGGAGACAGGGTTTCTCTGACTCCAGATCAAAAGGCTGTTAAAAGGAGGAGGGAGGAGGGGAGAGATCAGAGGCTTTTTAATTTCTATCAATACTTATACATTTATGTTGCAAATGAATAGGCGAGTATGGTATGCAAAGCAAATATCTGCCATCTCTGAAGTTCCCGGAAATTATATTATTTCTGATAAATGCACACTCTGGATCAACAGGAAAGTCTAATGCAAGCATATACTCTTCTATTGGATCTTGGAAGAGGCAAGAGACAAATTGCTGGAAAATTGCTATGCAAAGAGAAAAGAGAGGATTGAAGGAAATTTATTTCAGCACGAAAAGCTGAGTTCACTAAATTTGCTTCATTTCTTGAATTCTTTTTTTTTTTTCTAGGTTCCTTTCACTGCCCTAAGGCGGCTAAGTTGAGAGTTAAGGAATATTAGTCCGATAGATATTTCCACACAGGCTTCCCAATGCCATCAGAGATAAGCTAATTTTAAGCAGGGTCATAATACTTTATCTTCTACAAACAGGAACTAGTGCTAAGCCCAATGTCTCAATTAGGGATGTAATGAGGAGTGGAAAATGCTCGGCATGCTTGCAGCACTACATAAATTACTACTCCTATCATTACATGTGAAAGAATCATCCTCAGCCAGGTCACAAGCAGAAGCTGTTATGTGATCTCCTCCCAAAATATGTCATGATCCACAAATAAAGCACATGAACTCTTAAAGACTGCAGTGTGATATCCCCAAAGCATCCTGAGGGCATCCTGAGGGCATTGGGGTGAATTCAGTTGAGTGGAATGGAAACTATGGTTGAGATGGAGGGTCTTCATTTGCTAGAATACTCAGTCTTTATAACTATTCTGTTTATAAACCTCTCTTCGTTCTTCTTTGCCATTCCAGATCAGCGCAGGGCATTCAGTAGCAGGACATAGGGCAAAATGACATATACTTACCTTGGTCACAATTCCAGCTTCATGCATGAAGAGGCGGCTCAACCGTGCTGTCTTCTTGGCAATTGAGTGGGTATTGAGGCGGGCCAGACGTTCTCGCAGAGTCAGATACCCAGCCTTGTTATATTTATCTGCTGTCCTCAGTCCAAAAGAGGAGAAGGTGAGAAATGTAACAGAACAAGTTATATAAGGCAGGAGGAAAATTTTCTGGCAATTTAATGATTCTTCAGTGGATGTAAGAACAAGAATACCATGGGAAAATTTAACTTTGATACATTTGGATACACTCATTGACAACAAGCTAAAAAAGCAATCAAATATGGGGTGAAGAGGCTGCCTTGTAGCCACTGACACTTCAGCTAAAGTAGAGTATATAACAGATTTTCCTTCCCTAACAATCCCCAAATTTAGTGAACCATAACTTTGGGGTCCTTGGTGCTCTCTGAACTTGATTATTTTCTTGCAGACTTTTCATTACCCAACTAAGTAACATCGTCAGATAATAAAATGTCTGCAAGAAAAAAACCAAGGTCAGACAGCATCAAGGGCCCCCAAGTTTAACCCTGAGCTACAAATATTCTCTTCTATCAGAACCATAACTTCTACCACTTCCGGGACAGCACCCTGATTGAGAATGATGGGAACTGTTGTCCAATCCATCTACGGTACTGGGAAGGCTCTGCTATAATTATGCAAACAATTCTGACAAGACAAACCTACAGATTGCTACATTATGACTTTATATCACAGGGGTCTTCAAACTCGTCCCTTTTATGTCTCATGGACTTCAACTCCCAGAATTCCTCAGCCAGGCACACTGGTTGAGGAATTCTGGGAGTTGAAGTCCATGAGTCATAAAAGGGACGAGTTTGAAGACTCCTGTTATATCATCTTGAAAGCTGATCTGTTTCCTATTCAGTTTTAGTTCAGCTTTGAAGCTAAGTTCATTAATGGCTGGTTCCAGTTCAGTAATACATATTCCTGAGGCCTGACTGGTCAACTCTCCCAAAGCAGAATTATGCCTTCAAATGTATCTTTTCTTTCCAAAGTGACTTCTCCATTGTTTGCATGTTTGGAAGTGCAGCAGAAAACATCTGCATATGAATAATGTTGACCATTGTGCTTTAGACCCAGAGCTATAAGTGAGTTGTAGCTGATTAATTTCCTACATTGCAAATGCAGACTCAGGAAACCGCTTGCTGTGCCAAGGTGGAAATGATATTAGAGTCACATTTTTAAAAGTGCTTTCCCTTTGTTTTTGTTTGCCATTATTAAACTTTCAATATCCCTAGATAAATTCAAGGAAATTAGATCACAAAGTCCTGCAAAAAATACACCAAACATTCCGTATAGCCTGATTCACTTACCCCACTCCAGATATATCGCATTACAATTTTCAGACAAATTATCGTAGAGGGATTGAGTGTTGTTGAAAGTTGAAGGTTCCTGGAATTCTGCAGTAGACGTAGCCAGAAAGATCTGTCTCCCTTACCTATTTCCTTCCGCCTTTTATATTCATTGATATTGGCATTCACATCTGTCATAGCAGTGGCTGCAGCCTGCAGGGCTCCATAGGCACTGTCAGTGCCTGAAGTGTTTTCCACAATCTTCTGCAACAACAGTGGATATTTTGTGATTCGTTGCACTGGCATCACCAGGAAGAAGCTCAGGTTTGAAGCACCAGTGTGAGGCCTGACCAAGAAATGCATAAGGATATCAATCAGAGCATGTTGGGTCCCCTCAAGCAAACAGCGACATCTATTGGCACCCAGCAAGCACACTTTCTCTATCATGGAGCTTGTTCTCTGGACTAAGATCCTTCCCACTCCCTGCCCAGAGATCCATGTCAATCCCCTCCCCCCCCCTCCTGCTAATGTTGCAGGAAGCTTTCAAAATCTCGCTTTTCTCCCAGACCTTGGGGTGGGGTCCTTATGGAGCCCTATAGGGAATATTTCTGTTAGAGGCAGTGGGTTTGTGTAGATGCAGGGATTTTCTTCTTTTCTTTCTTGTTTCTTTTTATTTTATGTAAGCCACCCAGAGTCGTTTTGCAATGGGTGTCCTCTAAAGCTCCTAAATAAATAGATATCAGGATGTAAAGCGGCTTTAAAATGCTCCAGCCTTCCCAAATGGGAAACTGAACATTTCATATGTATTTAACGGAGAGGCAGGATTTGCCTTTTACATCTCCATGTAATTATTTGATTTGCATCTCATTTTTATTTTGTACAACTCAAGATAATGTACATAATAATTCTTTCCCCCAACACTATGAGGTAGATTGGAGTGAGAAAATGTGCCCAATGCTGTCATTTGATTGGCTCCCTTGCCTAAAAGAAGAGTAGAAATCTCATCTCCCAGTTTCTAGTCCAATATTCTGTCCACTATGTCAAACTGATGATTTTTTATTTGAGCCTGCAAAAAAAGCCCCAAAACAAAACAAAATCCATGAACCGAATACAATAGCCATCCTCCCTTCATAATATTCCAAAGTATCTGCTATATCCATTTGATAATCCACCTCCAATTTTTATGCTTGATTTCCAATAAAGCTAAGGCATTTAATCTTTAAACCCCAATGGTTCACTATGACCATGTCATTGCCTGTAACATGGGCAATTTAGCCATGATTAACAGTGCAGGGCTGGGCTCTAGTTGGTAGTAGTGGAGGAAAGGTTGTTGTTATCCTAGGGCGTTGTTACAGTAGCCAGGAGACCATTGCAAAGTAGTAGTTTGGCTGCCAATTTACCAGCCTTGTTGTAGGACAGGCTTGCACACTTCCCAAAGTGCTCTACAGGAGGTAAGCTGGCTTTGCACTGAAAAGAAAGACAAGCAGCTCTTCCAATAGCATCATCCAAGACTCCCTCCCTTTCCTGGAGCCACCTTGTAAATGGGTGCCACAACTGGGAAGGTTCAGAGCCAGCAGGAATCTGACTGCCTGTACAGAGTACCAACTCACTTCCCCCCCTCCCCCGCCAAGTGCTATCTATTTATCTACTTGCTTAGAACACGCTTTCAAACTGTTAGGTAGACAGAAGCTGAGGCAAGTGATAGGAGCTAACCCTGCCCTGCAGTGCTAGGACTTGAGCCACTGGAACAGATACCATTTCCAGCATTATTAAGCAACTGAGCCACCGTGCTTCTGGTATTCTGTGATACACTCCCTCTGGACATAATGATTCAATAGTTTTTGGGGAATGGCTTTTAAAATTCAATAGCTTTGTTTTGCTCACAGAGCATTACTAGATACCATTTTTTTCATCGTACCTTCCATGAAAAATAATATCCACTAAAGAAAAAAATATGGTGTAGTTTGCACGATGCCTTTTTATTAGTAGTCCAACAAGCATGTTAATCCCTCATTTGGCCTAATGGCCATCTTATCTGATGACACTGAATTCGGTGAACGACAAGAAAAAGTTTTGAATCTTTCCATAAATTCATGGAATATCACAATTGCAGGTAATTAATACAACCCAATAGTAACCCAGTGGTTTCTTTTTGCAGATCTACTTGTTCTTCTGCTTTTAAACATGATTCATATTTAGCAAAAAACCTCTATGTTCAAAATCAGATACAACTGGCATTAGTTGACTTGCTTCACATCCTACTGATTTGTGTGGACCATGGCAGATTTACACCCTCTGGTTTGGATGTGTATAGTGATTCATTTGGGGAAAAAGATTGCTGTCATCTCTCACAGCTATGCTCCCTTATTCAAGTATCTGTTTCAGCAAGCTGAAGGGATGAAGTGATCCAAAGGGCACAGATGCTGCCTACCACTGACTGATGTCATTGCCTCGTTAAACACAGGGCTGTGTTTCTTGAAAAGTAAAAAGGTTAACATACTAAAAAAAATATGGGTTGTATGATTGCATCATAAAGTATACTTACACAGTAGTGGTCAAGGTTTCCATAATTTCTTTTTGCAATCTTGGCTCCTTACTATAAATATCTAACAGTAAAAGAGCTTGGTCATAGTCTCCACAATAAATTTTATAGACATTCTCCATTTCTGCTTTGAGTTCTTGAAATAAAGTGCCTACCACAACAAAATTGTAAAACAGTCAAAATGAAGATTCCCAAGACATGTGTTGTATATTGAAAAGCATCAATGCATCAAATTGTTCTTAAGTCTCATTAATTAGCCTCATTTTTGTGCAAGGATGCGTATATATAACTTTTCAGGCTGAAAAATAGTGTATACATTTGAAGTACAGTGGTACCTCAGTACTCATTGTTAACTGGTTCTGGGGGGCCTCATGAAAAGCAAAAATGATTGGTACCAAACACATTTTTCCCATAAGGAATAACATAGTGAATCACAATGCAGCAGGTAGTGACAAGGTCTAGCTCAGGGGTAGGCAACCTCGGCTCTTTTATGACTCATGGACTTCAACTCCCAGAATTCCTGAGTCAGCATAGCTTGTGCAATGGTCTAGCTTGTGCAATGAGTACCAAACAAACAATGAGTACTGGGGCAAAAATTTCATGTCAACATGCAATAAGTACCAAATTTGATGAGTTTCAAAGCCGTTAAGTATCAAGGTACCACTGTATAGCTGGCTAATTATGAAATTAAGAAGCTATCATTTCACTATCACCCCCAGGTCCTTGAGCATGCCACAGCTCTCAAGGATGTTAGCTCACATTTCAAAAGTGACAATTGAATACAGCAGGCAGAATTTCCAAAGAATGGGATTTCAACTCTATTCTCCCTTGGATTCCTTTTTTGCCTGCTTCTTACTTATCTGTCACAGTGCAAAACTCTTCTTATCATTAGGTCTCATGTGAAAGATTATATTAGTCTCACTTTACACTGCCTCCTTTTTTATCTACTGTCTTTCACTACCCATTCTTCCTTTGAACTTTAAGATCCTCTGCTTATTTTATCCCTCTCTCTTTCCTTAGCCACTCTATCTTTTTATTGGGTTCTCCAGCATTCTTCTCTTTCTTTCTCCACAGTGTTTCCTGGAGTGCTTTGATGGCTTCCTAAATGTCTCCTTTTATGACTCATACCATGCTGTCTCCAGAATCTGAACTCAAAAAATTAAAGATATCTAAGAAAAAAAACACATATTGACTTCCATTTACTTAGCAAGCACAATAGCATTTTACTCTTTTAGAGGTTAAATCATCTCTCTTTAGTCCATAATTTGATGTACAATCTTGAAATAACTTCGCTCTTGGATAATATTCAAAATAACTATTTTCCTCTGCTACAAATAGTAAAAGTAATTCTGGAAAATCACATAAATAGCTGATTAACATCAAGCGAAGTAACACTTAGATCTTTCAACTCTTGAAAAGATAATATTGAATCCAGCTTTTAAAACATTAGACAATCTGACACGGCCTCATAGTGCTTGTATTAAAGTTATTGAAGTATTACTGTTGTTATAATAAAATGTATACTATTGCTTTAATAATAACAGTATTTAAAAACTATGTAGTAGATACATCATTGTGAATACTACCTACTGATATGAAAAAGTTGTTCGTGCCCCTGGTTCACAGAAGCTTCAAGTCCTTTCAACAAACATTTGGAAACCTGCAGGACATCATCTATATTAGAGAACAATCCTTCCAGGTCAATTTCAGGCAGCTGAAATAGAGTAATACAATGTTTTAGTTTCTTCTCTCAGCCAGCATATGCTCCTATTCTACAAGACAAAGATAGTTACTGTCTTTTAACCATAATATTTCTGTCCCAACATTGTTTCTAAAAGTATAACCAATAAACATCTATAGGTATATTCTGAGAAATCCCTTTGTATTTTTGTAAGCAGCTGTATCATGCTGCTTTATTAGTCTATGGACTCTTCAGGTGCAGAAGTTGAGAGCACATTGTTGAAGAATGAATCTACAGAATACGACAGCTGTGTCAAGAGTGAAAATCTGGCAGCTACAGGCCTCTTTGATTTCATCTTGCCATTAGAGTAAGGGGGGAGGGGGAGAGAGAGAGGTGATGTTTTTGAATGGGTTAGTTAGAGAAACGAAACCTCTCCAGTTCTGGGGAAGTTTGCTTAGAGAGGCTGCCTGAAAAATGTCAAGGACATTCTAGCTAGTGTGAAGAAGATAGCAGACAATTGTCATAACAAAGAGAATTTGTTTACATGAGCTATGTGGACATCTGGGTGGGATTGGCTGGGAATGTCATTCTTATATGTCAGTGTTTCCCAAACTTGACAATTTTAAGGCATGTGGACTTCAACTCCCAGAATTCCATAGCCAGCATTGCTGGCTGTGGAATTCTGGGAGTTGAAGTCCTCATGCCTTAAAATTGTCAAGTTTGGGAAACACTGTTATATGTTATGGTATTATGCCTTGGGATTTTCGAGTTAGTTTTCCTTCGCCTATACTATGCCATGTATTCAATAAACAGTAAGCTTTTCAGAAATGAAAGTAATCTTGGAGCTGGAGGTTGAGAAGCTGTATAGCCAGAAGAAACTTTCTCACAACAGGATCCAGTGGTCATTTCAAGCCATACAGACAAGTGTTCATCACCTTTACTTGATAAAGAATACATTAACAACTAATATAGTCTCTTTCTCTTGCTTTAAACATAATTCCCATAGTATCTCCAGTTGAAGAATTTTCTCCCTATACTTTATTTCTTACTATTCATTTAATGGCTTAGTCTCCTTTAAGGTCTCAATTTTGGGACAAGCTACTGATGCTTAGCTTCCTTAATACCCTAGGACAGGGGTAGGCAACCTCGGCTCTTTTATGACTCATGGATTTCAACTCCCAGAATTCCTGAGTCAGCATAGCTGTCATAAAAGAGCCGAGGTTACCTACCCCTGCCCTAGGATATTGCTATTTATACAATATAGGATTCCCTGTTGTAGATACTAATTTTTTTTATCACAACTCAAGTGCTGATGATTACAGATGATCTCTCTTATTCTCACCTGTTTTTTCTGGAGGTGATTGCGGATATTAAAAATGCAGAGCTGAAGGTTGTGCACATAGTTAGCCTCTGTAGTGATGAGCTCATCTATGGCCATTTGGTGATTCAGCTCTGGTTTGTCAGAAGATGCCAAAGTGTCATAAATATGTTCATAAATATGTTCCTCATCCTCTGAAGTCACCTTGGATGAAAGTTCTTCATAGTTGTTATTTGCCATGTTAGGAGCTACAAAGGCAGAATGAGAAGTTTCAATCATTGCTCATATGAGCAATAGTCAGACCAATTTTTAGGCTATAATTTAACAGGAAATCTTCCTTTTGTTTACTATTACATTTTGAAAATATAAGGAGAAAGCTAACATATACTGGCAACAGCTTCTCAATTATAAATATTATTTATCGTTCATAAAGGGATTTTCCAATAGCAAGAATTCTATTGGCTAGTATTTACACTCAGTTGATAGTAAGCCACTTTGTAGGAAGGAATAAACACATATGTTCAGAACCAGTTAATTAGGTGCAATAAATTATTACATCAAAATAATACAAGCTTTTAGCAACATCAGTTCCTACTGAATCCAAGTTTCTTGTGCAAATCAAGTTCCAAGATCAATAGATTCCCAATTTTCATTATACAGTTCAATATTTTGTTATAGCTACCCACTGTATCTGTAACCTATAATTTGAAAAAAAACCTTAATTGTTCTTAAGTAGTTATTATGAAACCCAAATTTAATTCTAAACAACTGTTTGGGATTCCCCCTATTTATTAACAGGAGGTGGGGCAAGAAAAGTCAGTGCTTTTTTTGTAAGAAAAAAGGTGCTGGAACTCACATCATGTTAATCTTTTATTTACCTTTCTCACATAGTCAATCACTGTACACACACCCACACACATCAGTTGTGTAACAAAATATAACCATCATCACCCACAGTAAGCACTCAGCTAGCGACCACATGACCAATTGCAAGCCGAGGAGTGCCCCAAGCCGAGCAGCCGGATGAAGTACACATGCATTGGACTTGACACACAAGCAGCCCGCATGCACCGTTTTAATGATTTTTCCATCAACCTCCTATGCTCGACACGGTGATTCAAATCCATGTGGACCAAATATCAAATTTTCAAAAGTTACTTTTAAAACTTGGAAAATCTGTCAAAAAAGGGTGCCGGAACTCTATTCCGGTGAGTTCTATGACAAAAAAAGCACTGAGAAAAGTAATATAGATATGAAACTATTTCTTTCTTCAATAGATTCCTGGCTAAAAAGAAGAGCCTCTCCTTGGCAGAGTTTTAACCATGTTGTGGTGCAGAATGAGATAACGCTCCTCCAAGAGATCCTTGCATTACTAAAGCTGTTCTCATGATCTGCCTGACCCCCTTCGCCCACATTAAATTTATCATTGCACCCATGAGAAGGGATCCCAGAGAACAGACACTGTTGAACAAAAATATGATCTGATGAGAAAAGATCAAGCCACTCCTTGTGACTTTCCGTCATGACCCCCAGCTTCATTCAAAGAGAAGTCCTTTCACATGATTGATGTGAAAGGGGCTGTTAAATTTTGAGGAGAGTTCATTGACTCTTCCTGCCATGACATCATACATAATTCTACATAGTGGCTAAGATCATCCACATAAAAGTTAAGCCTGGAATTAAAAGGGATGAAACTGCCTATTTTAAAAAATGGAAAAGCTGACCATTGTTGGGGGCGCAGAACACTTCTCAGTGATGTTTCTAAAGACCTTGAGCCATGCAAATCACAATTCTGTGACCTTAAAACTGCCTTAAAACATCCTTTTAAAATCAATACAGAGGAAAAGATATTGCTGCTTGCCTGGAACAGTGAGATAACCTTTCAAACTATTTTAACCGATTGATTTTTTTTTTTAAATCTCAGCAATATTCAATTGAATGGTAAAATTTTATTTTCAGGGCATAATTCCAAACAGTACTTATCATTTTATACAGCATTATCAAATTATCACTGCCTAATTACTTTTTTAAAAAAAACCCATAACTGTTAATTTACTTAAGTACAGTTAAATCAAAAAGGTGAGGTAAACTATCCAATAACTTACACATAGGCTAGCCAAACAGAAGTGGTCATTTGCTTGACATAACTTTATAGTCTTAGAAATGACTGTAAAACTTAACATATTCAGTTCTTTGTACTTTCATCATCTGAAGTTATATGCTAAACCTTAATTTATTATTTATTACTGCATCAATGAGCGACAGAAATTCTCATCCCAATTGCCATCATAATCCAACGACTCCCTGTAGTATACTTACATTTTTTAAAATAAAAAATAAAAAAATGACTAATAGAAAAGGTTTCAATACAAAATAAATCAATAATTAAAAACACAAGAATATCTCAACAATCATGAATAAAAATTTTAAAATTTTAATTATGTAATGTTTGTTTGTTTTAAATGCTATCAATTTAAGAGGCTAAATAATAGAAAATCTTGGATCTTTGTCTAACTATGCAGACCTTCATTGCATAAGAAATTTAAAAAATGGGGGGGAGCCATAGATCAGTTTCTTTTTATGAGTAAAAAAACCACAAAGTTTTGACTCACTTTCAGGACTGATTTATGATGCCATTTATTTTCATGGACATGAATCTACTTTGTCAAATAAATGCATGGCCTGTTATTGTCAGATGACAAGCCTAGAAGGTGGAAGAAGTGATATACGTTCACTTATATAGAGTCTTTGCAGCAAGGTTGGATGCAGAATACTTTTTTACATTAATATCTGTCAAGAAGTAAAACACAAGATTGCTCCTTCCCCCTCTCTGCTGGCCCTCAGATTGCTCTCTCTCCCACTTCAGTTTCAAGGCAGGTGGGCATATTGCCAAAACACTGAGCTGTGGTTATCCAACATTTTTTTTTTTTTTAATGGAACATCTCAAGGCTTTATCTCCGATTTCCCAAAGTGTGGTCTGCAATCCAGTAGTTGTTCCACATGGTTAAGGTTAGGCTAGTTGAAGGACTGCCTCTCCCCTATTGCATCTACCCAGTCCACCAGGATGGGAAGACAGGTTATTTTATGGAGTCCCATTGATTAGGGATTGCCATCTGGCTGGACCATGAAAAAGGGCCTTCTTGGTGGTGGCCTCTTCTCTGTGGAACATCATTACCCCTGAGGTACAGTTGGCTCTACACTGCTGCTTTTTTGAAAAGCCCTATAAATAGGGCTTTGTGTGCAGGTCTGGGACCACGAATGGAAACAGAGCCAATCAGGTTAATTTGACTGTTGCTGCCATGGGATGGGAGGGGAGAGAGAGAGGGTTTTTATAAGTTTTTTATATGATGGATTTAAAAAAAAAAATTATAAGCCACCTAGAGTCACATATACGTGAGAAATGATTCTTTTGGTGAATGTCTATGGAGATTTTTATCCAGGTCATACTTATTCCAAAGGTGTTTTTTCATGAGGCAACTGGACTTTCTTGTTTTTCTTTGAAGACTTTTTGCTTCTCATCCAAGAAACTTCTTCAGCTCTGGAAGAAGCCTCTTGAAAAAGTACCAGTGGGACACTCTTTTACTGGAGATCAAGTTGGAGGACAAAAGGAGAAAATCTGAGCACTGGTGATTGGATTAAAAAAACCTATGCTTATGGAAAATCCAATCTGCCATTTTGGGTGTGGAAGAAATACAAAAATATAGATCATTTCACAGATAAGAAAAGTTGTGGATGTGAGAATTAAAAAATTAAATACTTTCATTTTAACCTTGAATGCAATATGTGGTTGTAAAATTGTAATTGTATGTGAGAATGACTTTGGGAGACAGGAAGAAGAACTGCGGCCTAGACAACAGTCAGATAAGAGGCAGTTGAGTCTGCAGAGGGAACTTGGATGTGGCAAACATTTGAGAAGGGACCGTCCTTAGTTTCATGGACTGTAAAGTTGAAGTTGGAAGAGATGCACCTACTTCTTCTGAGTGTGCGTCTTAGCTGGGTTGCCTTGAAAGGCTAATAAATGTTACCAGAAATACAACTAATAAATGAGGCTAGTACAAGTGAGAAAAATGAGATAAACATTTCATAGAGTCACACGTATTTTAGTACTTAGCAATAGCTATAGTGCTATGGTGCTTAGATCTATATACTGCTTCACAGTGCTTTACAGCTATCTCTGAGCAGTTTACAGAGTCAGCCTATTGGCCCCCAACAATCTGGGTCCTCATTTTATCGACCTCGGAAGGATAGAAGGCTGAGTCAATCCTGAGCCAGTGAGAATTGAACTGCCAAACTGCTGGCAGTTGCCAGTCAGCAAAAGTAACCTGCAGTACCGCATTCTAACCACTGGGCCTCCATGGTTCAGCAATAGCACTTATACTTAGATACCACTCCATAGGGCTTTACAGCACACTCTGAGCGGTTTACAAATGTCATCATATTGCCCCCCAACAATTTGGATCCTCATTGCTGAACAACAAAAGTTCCACAGCAATCTAGATGGGATGGTCATGGCTGAGGGATGCTGGAAATTATACCACCAATGTTTCGTGTGTTGGTTGGGGGAAGTTTTGGTTGATTTGAAGAGCAAACTGGGTGTCTTCAGCACCAATCACTCATAAAAAGAAGCTCCAAATACTTAACCTCTGTACATTCAGAGTTCTGTCATCTCTGGGAGCCACAAATAGATTGCTGGGAGGCAGAGGCAGGTCATAGGCTTTGAACTGTCTACCCCAACTTTAAGCATCCAAGAAGATCTTACAAAACACTCAGAAGGATGAGAATCAACACTTTTCACCTCTTCAAGAAATAGGACAACATAGGTCCTTTAAAATTGCACAGAGCACATGGTATTTCTCCATAGCAATAGCAATAGCACTTATATATTACTTCGTAGTACTTTACAACCCTCCCTCAGCAGTTTACAGAGTCAGCATATTGCCCCCAACAATTTGGATCCTCTTTTTATTGACCTTGGAAGGATGGAAGGCTGAGTCAACCTTGAGCTGGTTAGGATCAAACTCCTAGCTGTGGGCAGAGTTAACCTGCAATATTGCATTCTAACCACTGCACCACCAGGGCTCCTATTTTGCTGAGTGTTTTAAGTCTTGGGTTATAAGTACAGGAAACAAATATTTGCAATCTGCCATACAGAATCTATCCAGTACCTACATTAGAACTGAAGCTGAATTTGGAATGCAAACATCCAGAAAACACAAATAATCCCACATCCCTTTTTCTTAATAAGAAT